ATTTCTTTCTTTTTTTTTTTTTTAAACAAGGAAGGATAACAAAGACAAGTAATAACTGAAATATCTGACCCTTATGATTGTAAAGAAAAATCACTCAGTGAGAAAGTTATTCACTAATTTCTGGAACACCAGTGTGAGTAGAAAAGATGGGTCCAGAAAAGAAGGAGCCGGAGGAATATGAGGGGGAAGCCAAGCAACAGTGGCAGTGGTTGAGACAACAGCAGCTAAAATCAGGAACTTGTAATGGCTGCTAAGAAAACTCAATCCACTTGGACTCCACAGAAGGGGAGTAGGGCTGCAGTTCTGAGGGACAATCTAGGTGGACACTCAGGGTTAAAAAAAAAAAAAATCACCACCGAAGGCTTTTATCATTCTAGACTGGGGTGAGAAGAAATTGGGGTAGAGCTGGGTTGGGGGTAATGGGAGAGAGACTGAGCCAGGTGGAATGTAACCTCTACCAACAAACTTCATGTTTCTTTTGTTTGCTTTTGTATAAACCAGCACCTGCTATTCCTAGCCCATAGTGATTGAACAATAAATATTTTTAAAATGATTTTATTTATTTATTAGAGAGGAAAGAGTATAAGCAGGCAGAGGGGCAGAGGGAGAGGGAGAAGCAGGCTCCTCACTGAGCAGGGGCCCAATGGGGGACTCAATCCCAGGACCCTGGGATCATGATCTGAGCCGAAGGCAGACACTTAACCAACTGAGCCACCCGGGTGCCCCAACAATAAATATTTTTAAATAACTAACTGGATAAATGAAGGGAATGGTTGACAGATATGTCTTCACTTTAAGAGTACCAACCCTGAATTGTGCTATATATAACCAATGCAGTGTTGTCCCAATCTATGAGCATGCCATTCATTTGGTCATTTATTCAATAAATATTAATCGAGCATTTGCTAGGTTCCAGGTATGGGATACTAGACTCTGGGGAATAACACATGACTACTTTTTCTGACCTGAAAGGATTTGATTTAGAGGCTGGTAGGGGAAGGAAGAAATCTGTTAAATTTTTTTTTAAATTGCATAACATATTTTAGATGCTATCAAAACTACCCTATCCTCATTCCGCTCGCTCCTCCCCTCTCACCCCCTCTCCCCCATCCCAACCCCACCAATCTCAAACTCCAAGGGATGGACCACCTTGGCCTGCTGTCGGCCTGGCTTTCCTGACAAAGTAGGGAAACCACAGAGACGTGAAGAAAGAAGTCATTTCATGAGGTAGCTTCTAGAAGGCAGGGGCTTTCATATTTGAAGCAGGCTATCTAAAGTAATCTTATTTAAATAGAAGCCTTCACATTACTTACAATGCACACTTTGTTCTTTTTTTTTTTTTTTTTTTTTAAAGATTTTATTTATTTGACAGAGCACAAGCAGAGGGAGAGAGAGGGAGAAGCAGGTTCCCTACTGAGCAAGGAGCCGGATATGGGACTCGATCCCAGGACCCTGGGATCATGACCTGGGCCGAAGGCAGCCGCTTAACCGACTGAGCCACCCAGGCGTCCCTGCACACTTTGTTCTTTTCTCTACCTTCCTCCCCCCAGATCTGTACTTTCAACGTCTGGACCGTCTGCGTGAATGACACAGATAAGGTCTGTGAACGAATTCAAGGATAAAAAGACAAATTCCTGCCTCCACAAAGCTCGCACTGTAAGGTTTAGTCAGGGATGATAACTCAAAATAACCACCCGCACAGACGCAGGCAGGAACGCTTTCCAGGCGGGCCAGAGATCTCACCGGGAGCCGTATCCAAAGGGCGGGCACCAGGGTGCGGGCCAGGGTGGAAGGCGGGACCGTTCTGGATTCCCTGGAGGTAGCCAATGGCCACCTGGGAGGCGGAGCTTTCGAACTGACTGGCATGGAAACTGACCAATCAGGAACGAATCTGGATGACCTGCCGAGGGAGCTCTATAAGAGCTCTGGTGCTACGGAGTAGGAGATGAGGGCGGGAGCCCAGGGCAGCAGCTGTTTACTAATATGTAGGAAGGCATTTCAATTTTTATTTTTATTTTTTATTTTTATTATTTTTTAAAGATTTTATTTATTTATTTGACAGAGACAGACACAGAGAGAGCAGGAACACAAGCAGGGGGAGTGGGAGAGGGAGAAGCAGGCTTCCCGCGGAGCAGGGAGCGCGACGCCCGGCTCGATCCCAGGACCCTGGGATCATGACCTGAGCGGAAGGCAGACTTAACGGTTAACGACTGAGCCACCTAGGCGCCCAGGATTTCAATTTTTAAAATCACCAGTTCGGCTGTACTAGTGCATATGACTGGATATCAGGCCAGATATAGTGGCTTTCTATTCTTTTGTCGGCCAAGAGCCTCACCTCCTGAGAAATGCTTTTTTAATTTATGCAATCATTCAATTCAAACAGGAGCTGGTATTTACTGGCAGACCTCTTCTAAGAACCATAGTCTGTGGGTAGACGCGGGGCAAAGGTTGCTAAGACTGTTTTTTTTTTTTTTTTTTTACTCATCTTCTTTACCTAACTTGTATCTGGCATCTAATTAGGCACTCAATAATTGTTTAAGAATAAATGGATTCAAGCCCCTAGCTATTGCTTCCTCTGATGTCGTTTGTAAAATCTCTGCAACCTTCTGACCCTTTAGGGGAAAATCTCATCCTGTATCTGCAGCTTGATTTAAGTTTAGATATTGCATTACTTGGTTTCTTCAATAAGTTTTAAGAATTTGCTAGCAACTCATGATATTCAAGGCTTCTGTTTACTTTTTTCCTTTTAGTACAATGTTTACAGGCTCCAAGATTCTTGTACTTTTACCATTTCACAGTGTCATCAGGTTTCAGGCAAAGAATAAGCTTTATAAATTTTAAAGTTGTAAACCAATGTTTCTTGATACCCCTTTTGCATTCGTTGTGAAAGAGTTGACTACCTTCCATGTACTAATCACAGTGTTCACCATTATTATACAGTCCTGTATTGCTCAAAGGACCAAAGGGCAGGAGCTCAAAGGTAATGCCTGTGTGTAAATAACATGATGCTGATCAAGTTAGAAGCAAAAGTCACTCATATTCCAGAGTTCCTGAGGTCTAAGTGTTGGGCAGTTTCATACAGAGACAAACTCTGGCCTTCTGATAGCTCATCAGTGAGCTAAGAAGACCACTGTCCTCTCTCTGGAATTATAATTTTAGTGTGTCTAAGAAGAAAAAAGTAAAAGGTGTGAGTATGAATGTTGTTTCAAGAACAGGTTGCCCCGGGATGATTCTGTGTTCCTCTATTAGTTAATTATTTTTTTGTTTTTGTTTTTGTTTTTTTTTGTTATAAGTAATAGAAACTAAGCAATAAAAAAGGACGGGGAATTTAGTACAAAGAAACAATGGTGACTTATAGACTCCATGAGCAGGAATGGTTATGGGCCTTGGGAAAAGCCTAAAGCCGGGAACAAGAAAGAAGCTGGGACTCTTGCTCCAAATCTGCTTCCCTCTGCATGCCTGCTATATTCTTCACTTTCTACTTCTCTCCTCCACATCGTACCCTTTGTTAAAATATTTGATTTATGAATTCCTCATTACTGGAATTATTCCAGCAGAGGCTGAATTACTTTCTTTTGAGATTATGGCAGAAGGCATGTCCTTGTTGAGTGGAAGGGAAGTTAGATTAAGTTATATATATGGGCTATTCTAAATGTAAGATACTATGATTTTATCAGTTTAGGCTCCCATATACACAAGAATTGCCTTGCATTTCACTTTCTCACCGTCTCTGTTTATAGTAACATTGATTTCTTTGTCTTATCTATATCCCAGTCCTTCATCTTTTGTGTGAAGTCAATCAATAGGTCTTATTGGATATACCTCCCAAAAGCCTCTCAAGAAATAATACTAGTTTTCTCCTAATACTTGTGGAGCTGTAGAAAAGGTAATGAAAGCATGAGCTCTTTAACCTACAGATAAATATTAAGATAGAGTTGCATCACAATTAAAAGCAGAGGCTTTGGAGTTCAACCTCAGCTCAAATCTTGTTCCCAACTTTATTAGCTCTGGCACCTTGGAAAAATTACTCTTTGAGGCTTTTTCTCCAACTGCAAAGGGGAACCTAATATTAAGCAACCTTACTGGGTTGTTTGGTTAAATAACTAGTATCCATAAAGCACTTTCTATTTCTATTAATGCAAATGCCAATCATAAATGCTTAATAAAGAGTAGTTACTAATATAAGTAATAATAAATACAACACTTGTATAACTTCTTTTTTTTTTTGGTTTACAAAACATGTTCACCTACATTTTCTCACCTAATATTCACAAAAATCCTGAGAGGTGGATAATATCCCCATTTTAGAAATAGGGACATCAAAGTAAAGAGAGATGGTAACACTTCCTCAAGTAGGATTATGTTGAGGTCTTTCCAATAGGGAGTGAATGCCCAGTTACTGGAAGTTCTAACAAAGCTACCCTGCTACCTATGAAAAGGGATGTAGCAGAGATCCCAGCTTTTGGAAGGGTACCTGATTTGGTGATTTCTGAGGTCTGTACTTGGTCATTTTTTCACACATACAATAGATACTTGTTTTTTACTGGAAACTGTTCAAGGATCTGGGGATACAGCATAAACAAACAAGCAAAAACCAACCAAACCAAAAAATCTTAAGCAGACAAAAATCCCTGCCTAGAAATATACGAATATATAAAGTATTATGTATAAAATATATAATACATAAAATAGAAAAATATGAAAACATATAGCTTGATTTTCAGTTTTTTCACATACTTTCCATCTATGTATCCATTAATTCCCACCACCCCTCCCAGCCCTCTCCTCACATTTACAGTATTGGGAACTAGAAAATCCTGTTTTCAGTTTGAATGCCACACCCCTCAAGGCTGAAGGTTTATTCGAAGCTCCCAATCCAGAAAAGTGGGCGGGACCTTGGCAGTTTCCGAAGGTGGAAGGAGAGACCGCGGAACTATTGTTCTGGTAGTTGTGGTTCTCGGTGGGAAGCTAATTCTGAGGACCGGTAGTGGAAGGCTCCAAAGCTAGTTTCCGGCCACCTCAGCGGGAAGCGCAGACGCGAGCAGCTGGCTCTTGGGGAACTAAGAGGTGTGACTGTTGTCGCGGCAGAGGAAGTCAGGAGGACGTCTTCGGCCATCCCGGCCAGTGTTGGGTCCCTGTAGCCTGTGAAGATGGTGTTGCTTACGATGATCGCCCGTGTGGCGGACGGGCTCCCGCTGGCCGCCTCGATGCAGGAGGACGAACAGGTGAGCTCCTAGATCCCCGCGACCCCAAGTCCCTGTCTGAGCTCTGCTGTCAGTACCGGATTTCTTCTTAGAACCCAGGGGGCCCTTGCGACCTCCCATGCACTCTCGACTCCTCTGAATTGCTTTTTCATCCGTTGGCAGTGGAGGGATGACTTGTGAAAAGAGATCCTGACGGAGGAGGTATATTTTTGCCTTACCTGTTTCTCTACGGGAAGACGCTCCGGCGTAGGGGTAGTTTCGGCCGATTGTGATCACCCAGTGTTGTGTCACTCTTAGAGACTTTGTTAAAATTCGGGATTTCTAATTTTCTGCTGCTATTAAGGCTGACTAACAGGTCCTGGGAAAAATCAGCTCCCAAGTTCTTCAGCCTCTTCTACTGTGGCACTTGATCCTTGACCTATCTTGATGACATCTTTTGAAAGTGGGTGAGATAATACTGCCACATATAGACACCTGTTTGAAGTTCACTACAGTACTTTCTTTCAAGGTTATGCCCAGTTCCCACCTCCTCCAATAAACCTTACTAAATTTCTACTGTTGAAATTATAACTCCTGTGTTATATTCCTGTAATGCCTTGTACTTTTATTTTACTATGTTTTTTTGTCTTTCAATAATCTGAATTTCCTAGGAGGCAGTAGGCAGATCTTAGTCATCTTTGTGTTTCTTATAGCTTTTACAGCAGCAGTTTTATGCTAGCATAGGTGCTCAAAAGTGTATTGAATTGATGAAAAAACAACAACAGCCCCAAATATCTTGAAGAGAAGCTGCTTTGTGCCTTAGAATCACAAGGGAAATTTCTGGTGTGAGACAGGTTTCTGGAGCAAGGTTGGGCGGTCTCTGAAGAAGGGAGGCGGAGAATGAAAATTATGTAACTTATTCAAAGTGAACAATTTTCTTTTACTTTCTCATACACCCTAAGTAGTTAAAAACAACAACAACAACAAAACTCAAGGCCTAAAAAAAAGATGAGCTCTAGAAAAAATTCTTTTGCACATATCTCTTAGGCTTTTCATTCATATATTCTTGAAAAAAAAAAAAACCCTTATTAAACTCATCAATTGTGTCAAGCATGGTGATAATACAGGAGGTTAGAGGACACAGTCCCTACTTTCATGGAGCTTACAGTTTAGTGGGAAAGCCAGAAAACTAACGAGCAGTTATAATATAGGACAACTACTATGGAAGAAGAAGGCTCTGTGGCTGCTTTATTTACGGAAAGATAAAGATAAAAGGCCCTTTACTTTACTCTTTTACCTTACAGAAAAGGTATCTAAGTTAGTTTTGGGAGACCAGGAAAAGTCCTTCCCAGAAGAAATGACATCTAAGCTGACAGTATTATCTAGTAATAAGGAAAGCTTCTATTTGGTTATATGCCTTTTTAGGTTTGACTTGGAAATATGTTTATTTTCACACTTAGGAGAATAGTGATACAGATCATGAAGTTGCAGGTCATGCTCAGTGAAATATTTTCTATTCATTGCACAAAACAAAGTCTAATCATTGATATAAACTGTGAAAAATATAGTGTGCCCTTAATTTTCAATTGTGAAATACTTTTCTCCCAGTTTAAGAATTTTCTAGGACCACTCTACAGAAGGAGTGAAATTATTAAAATAAATGCAAGAACATGACTTGACAAGGGAGATAGTGTGGGAAAATTCTCCTTGAAGGATATATATGTAGTTTGGGAAATGGTTTTCCCCAGGGAGAAGTCTGGTCGGTTTATTGCATTGGATTTCAATGTGGGTAAAGAATACAAAGTGAATTTGAAAGTCTATTTAATATTAGTAGTTCTTACTCTCTGTCTTGATACCTTACTGAAAAAATAATTGAGATATTATTGGGTATTTCTTTTTTTTTAATTTTTTAAATTTGAAATTTTTAAAAAAGATTTTATTTATTTATTTATTTGTCAGAGAGAGAGAGAGTGCACAAGCAGGGGGAGCGGCAGGCAGAGGGAGAAGCAGGCTCCCCACTGAGCAGGGAGCCCAGTGTGGGACGCGATCCCAGAACCCTGGGATCATGACCTGAGCCGAAGGCAGACGCTCAACCGACTGAGCCACCCAGGCGTCCTCTTTTATTTATTTTATCTTTTTAAAGATTTTATTTATTAGAGACTGCGTGTGGGTGCACTCGCAAGTGGGGGGAGGGGCAGAAGGAGAGAATCCCAAGCCAACTCCGCATGGGGCTCGGGACTCCATCCCACAACCCCGAGATCACCACCCCAGCCAAAATCAGGAGTCCGTCGCTCAGACTGAGCCATCCAGGCACCCCTATTGTGTGTTTCTTAATTTGATTCCGAATTAGGTGTTGGTCTACCAAGATGGGTTACTTTGTTTAATTGACAAGGAAAAAAATTTTCCACAAAAATATTTTTGTGATGGCAATTCCATAGTTATTTCCTTTAGGGTGCTCACTTCGGCAGCACATATACTAAAATTGGAACCATAGTTATTTCCTTTAGGAATTTGGACTTTGAGGGCGCCTGGGTGGCTCAGATGGTTAAGCGTCTGCCTTCGGCTCAGGTCATGATTTCAGGGTCCTGGGATCGAGTCCCGCATCGGGCTCCCTGCTCCGTGGGGAGCCTGCTTCTCCCTCTGCCCCCCTCTCTCTCTGTCTCTCATGAATGAATAAATAAAATCTTAAATTAAGAAATGGATATTTCAACCAAATAGGTTTTATAGTTAAGTACCTTAATTGTTCAGTCCAAATAATTCAATGTACTTTTTCAATTATTTACACTGATCATAGATCTCATACGTTAGGTGGTTACTAGGTGCTAAACCTGTGCAAACTGCTTTATTACTGGAGATGAACAATTATTCAGATAATACAGTACAGATTAAAATTTAAAAAATGATGTAGGCAGAGTATCTCATGCACTGTTTCCTCTGTGCTCAACTAGAAGTGGTGGTAGAGAGATGAACTTTTCAAACCTAGATTCTGATATTCTATTTCCTTTCTTGTACCTTTCTGGTATGTTTCTTCTTTTTGGATGTTAGCAATTTCTTCATCTACCTTTCTGTTCTACCTCAAAATGAAGGGTGTACTCTTCCATTTGGCCACCAGCTCTGTGGACTTGAAGAAGGTGTTTGATCTAACGAAGTATTCAGCACTGAGCATCAAAAAAGCGGATGGTCTCTTGTACATTTAAACTGCCACACTCTCCTGATGATTGAGGGTTCATTAGTCATCTTACTGTAATTGTTTTTAGAAGAAAATGGTTGGTTCTTGGTGCTTCTGGCCTTTGACCAGCTGAGTTCAACAGGAATTTAAAAATGATATGAGCTTAGCTAAACATTCTTGTAAAGACAAAAGGTGGCATTTGATATAATTAATTGTTCAGCAGTCCTAGGTGATAGCAATAAAAAGTATTATAGTTGTGCGGTAAATATCTACCCTGTACCTTTCATAATATATATGGAACCAAATCCTAAATATGATATTGGATGACCTCAAATTAGTTTCAGGATTTGTCTGGACATTCACATCCAATTCATTATTGGATTGCTAACACATCTTTCCATTATACTGTATACAAGTTTCATCAAGTTTGTTCTGGATGAAGTGGAAAACAGAATGAGGACATCTAATCTGTTTTAGGTAGTCTAGTGACTGTGGGCCCTTCGTGACTTTAATCTTAAAAGCACACTGAGGTTCTGTCTGTACAGCAGTGAATATATTGTTTTGTGAGATCTAGATCAGAGCTGCCACACAGTTTCTTGATCGTTTCCTGTGAATTAGATTTAATATCAAATAGTAAGATCACCCAGAAGGTGGATCTGCTATCACCAAAGCAATTTTAATTGTAGAGGTGGTATAGCATGCTAGATTGCTTGGGTTCAAATTCTTGCCCCTCTCCTTATTGGCCCCTAGTCCTTGGGCACGTTTTACTTCTCATGCAGAAAATGGGCATAATAGTTCTAATCACCTCATAGGGTAGTTGTAAAGATTATTTAAATTATGTAAAGTGTTTAGAACAGTGGTTGGCAGAAAGTGAGTGCTTTCATTTAATTTTATTAATTTGCCTATTTCTGAAAAATCTTTTCTGGTTTCATTTTGCCTTTCTGAAAGTTCACATTAGAACCGTACATATTTGTGGGTACAAATATGCAATAAACAGGAATGGGTAAATGAATAATTTCCCCATTACAAAACTAGTCTGTGCTTATTGTAAAAAATTCAGTAAATATGTATAAACAAAAGAACCAAAATGTTAATGGTGATTATTACCAAAATCCCTACTTAAATTATATCCATTTTAATGTATAACCTTAATCTTTGTGTGTGTGTGTGTGTGTATAAAATTAAATAATGGGTAATACTATAAGACTGTTTACCTATTTTTTTCACTTAGTGTGTAGTGAGTTTGTTCTCATATCGTTAAATATTATACAACATTTTAATGGCTGTGTAGTATTCCAGTATATAAATATACCATATGTTATTTAACCAATTTTCTATCATATTACTGAACATTTGTTTTTTATTTTTATATGCATTTGTAGTTATTTTATTTTATTGTTTTTAAAGAGTTTATTTATTTAAATTTATTTGACAGAGAGAGACACACAAGAGAGGGAACACAAGCAGGGGGAGTGGGAGAGGGAGAAGCAGGCTTCCCGCTGAGCAGGGAGCCCGATGCGGGGCTCGATTCCAGGACCCTGGGATCATGACCTGAGCCAAAGGCAGACGCTTGACTGACTGAGCCACCCAGTCGCCCCTGTAGTTATTTTTTTAACATATGCTGTGTATGTATATTTTCAAAGATACAGAATTGCTGGATACAACAATAATGTAAGATTTTTATAATTTCCAGTACATATTACAAAAATGACTATCAGAAAGATTGTGCCAGCATTGCGTTCTCAGCGATGGTGATGCTAATGGAACCAGTACTGTGAAATGTTGGTTGGCGTGCCATAATCTTTGTGCCATCTCCGTGTGGTGCATTGACAGTCACTGCTTTGTTCGTTATAAATCCCTGAAACTGTAGCATGCTTTTGGACATAGTTTCTTGTAGTCGATACAGTTATTAGTCTCTTCCTCTTAAGTTGCAGTAATGTTTACAGTGCTTCTTATAAAGTCAAAGGATTTTACCAGTCTTTATTTGACAATTTTTTTTTGCTATTTATTTCTTCAACTAGTTCCTTTAAGGTGCTCACCTGCCTTTAGCTGTCAAAAACAGTTTTACTTAACATCTGTGTTTGTGGTTATTTTTTATTATTATTATTTATTTGACAGAGAGAGAGTGTACAAGCAGGGAGAGTGGGAGAGGGAGAAGCAGGCTCCCCACTGAGCAGGGAGCCCGACGTTGGGCTTGATCCCAGGACTCCGGGATCATGACCTGAACCAAAGGCAGACACTTAACTGGCTGAGCCACCCAGGTGCCCCCGGTTGTAGTTATTTTTAAAATACCAATTTCTGAGTTCCACCTCTGAGATACTGATTTAATTGGTTTGGGGTAGGAGGAGATAGGGCTTGATTAGTTTTTGTACAGCACGCAGGTGATTTTAGTGTAAAGCCAAGGTTGAAAAATCATTGATCAATGTTGGTATTATTTCTTGGCACGTTAGTAATATTTCCAGCTTTATTTGCATCCCTTTGTGTCTAATGTTGTGGGGTCAGATCTCTTCCAAATGCCACATATATAATGGCATTGATGAAGCAAACAAATTGGCAAGTACTGTTTAAATTTAGGAATGTAGGATATTGTGCACTAGTTCAAAGCATGTGATAGTATTCACTCTCCTTTACTAGCTGACCAGTCATGAGAAAAAAAAAATATATGCAGTACAGGTTAATATAATAATGCTAATATATATTATAATGTTAATTATTATAAAGTATTGTTAATATATAAACATACACATACATATATACAAATATATGTTAATATAGAACTGTTTCTCAAGTGAAGAATATTATAACAAATCATTGCCATAGGGGCAGTACTAAACAAGATAAATCTACAAATTGATACTTCTAGTGGTGTCTCTCTAACTCTCCTGGTTCACTTCATGCTTATTTACCTTCTTATTCATACTGAAATTTCCAGTTCATCATTTTATTTTATTTTATTTTAGATTTTATTTATTTATTTGAGAGAGGGAGCATGTATGAGAGAGCACAGGAGGGGGCAGAGCATGAGTGGGGGGGGAGAGGCAGACTCCCGGCTGAGCAGGGAGCTGGATGTGGAGCTCGATCCCAGGACCCTGAGATCATGACCTGAGCTGAAGGCAGACGCTTAACCGACTGAGCCACCTAGGTGTCCCTAGTTCATCATTTTAAATATAGCTTAGAATCCAGTACTTGTACATTTATCTGCCACTTTCATAATTTTATCATTGCTCCTTGTTTTTACTCTTAGCTGAGTGGTTCACTATCTAGAATTTTTAGGTTTCACTTTGTATTTTCTAAAAGTTAGACCTCAGATCCAGTCCACAGATCTCTTGAAGGAGAACCTCAAATAAATGAGTTTTTAAGGTAAACATTTAGTTATTAAACATCTATCAAGGAGATGCTGTGTTCTGTTGTTGAATTCAAAATAAATAATTCATGGGCGCCTGGGTGGCTCAGTCGTTAAGCGTCTGCCTTCGGCTCAGGTCATGATCCCAGGGTCCTGGGATTGAGCCCCACATCGGGCTCCCTGCTCAGCAGGAAGCCTGCTTCTTCCTCTCCCACTCCCCCTGCTTGTGTTCCCACTCTCGCTCTCTCTCTCTCTGTCAAATAAATAGATTAAAATCTTTAAAAAAATAATAAATAATCCAAAATAAAATAATTCCTTTCTATCAAATGGCAAAAGTGCCGCTGCCCACCTCCCCCCCCCCCCCGTATGCTGTATGTGGATGCATAAATAATGCATATTTGCTTTCCATTCCGTTCTTTCCCATTTGGATCTAATTGGTGATTGATGTTCTCCTTTTGAGATGACACTGCTATTTTCCTCAGTAGGCTCTTTTCCTTTTTTTTTAATCATTAAACTATTTAGAAATTGTTCAAGAAAATATCATCTGAATATTGTTATTTTCATTTTGTATGCATATGTCCCTTGCTATCCAAACTCAGAAACCAAATAGATTTATTCAGTAAAGAATATTTGACTTTTTAATCTTGGTCCTACTCTTGCTCATTTTTACCCATTTGCATTATAGTGTTCCTGGTAATTTGCAGTTATGGGTGCATACATTTAGTTTTGCTTAAATGTTCAATATTGTAACACTTTGTGGAAGATTTTGCTTGATATTCCAGGATAAAAATGAGATTCATCAGTCTTTTGTTCCCAGGGTTTTCCCCTGAGTATAGAACATGTTGTGCAGTTATGTGCCAGTAAGTGTGCAAGTGAAATGAGTTAGGAGGAGACCACTGACCTAATGGTGGAAAGAACACCAGATTAAAAGTTAAGAGTGCCTTAAAGGCAGTTAAGAAATACGATTTGCTTCTTAGCAAATAATGTGATTTTCTTGAACAACTAGGGGTTTGGTCTTCCTTTTTGCTCTAAAAGTAGACCATTTTTCTTTTCTTTTCTTTTTTTTTTAAAGATTTTATTTTATTTATTTGACAGAGAGAGAGAGACAGACAGCTAGAGAGGGAACACAAGCAGGCGGAGTGGGAGAGGGAGAAGCAGGCTCCTGGCCGAGCAGGGAGCCCGATGCAGGGCTCGATCCCAGGACCCTGGGATCATGACCTGAGCCAAAGGCAGACACTTAACGACTGAGCCACCCAGGCACCCCAGTAGACCATTTTTCTTTTGTTAAAATGAATCTTACTAATCTTTAATGAAAGACCATATTTACATAGTGTCCTCATAGTATGATGCTGCTCATTAATTGTTAAGGCGTTTTTTGTGTGTAGAAAATTCTTAAATGAAGGTGTCTTCTTTCAGTCTGGCCGGGATCTTCAACAGTACCAGAGTCAGGCTAAGCAACTCTTTCGCAAGTTGAATGAACAGTCCCCTACTAGATGTACTTTGGAAGCTGGTGCCATGACTTTCCAGTGAGTATAATCCTATTTTTTTGTGGTCATTTAAGTATGAGATACAGTAGATATAAGTAACACCTGATAAGAATGGTAACAGTTTTTTAAAAAGTAAAGAAAATTTTAAAAATATAGTCTTTTCATGGAAGCAACTTCCTGGCTCCAGTTCTGTAAAACAGAAATCTTGGTTTGTTTATTCAATTTGCATACAATAAATTAACTTGTTATCCCGTGTCTAATAAATGCTGTACCTATCATGCAATAATAGATAAATTTTTGCTTTAGGAGCTTCTTAGAGCCAGATATATGTAGATTAGTACTCTTGCTCAAACACTTACTAACAACAACACAACCTTGAACAACTCACATACTTCTCTAGGCCTCCGTTACCTCTATAAAATAGGGAAAATGGTCATAGTTTTGTGAGGGTAATTTAAGAGCATCTCAATCAGTGGTTATAGACAATGCATATAGCCGAGAGAGGGATCAAAAGGACTTTATTGGATTTCAAATTTTCTACAAATAATTGGTTATTAAATGTTTAATACATGTCAAGTTTGAGGGTGATAAAAATAGGAAGGATTAAAAAAAAAGAGGACAAAAAGATCAAAGGAAAATAAAATAGGATTAGCTAAATAATCCTTGCTATTTTAGGAACTCAAAGGCTAAGATAATATAGACCTGGGAGGGACTTGCTGTGTTTAACTTGAAAGGGGGAAAAAAAGATCTCCACCCATCAGAAATAAACAATTATACAAAACCAAAATCAAAACAAAACCCTGGTTTATTGGTTAAGAAAGTAGTGGATATTAAGTTTTATTTTTTTTTATTTTTTTTAATTTTTAAATTTTATTTATTTATTTATTTTTTGGTGGGCAGCAAAGCAAGGTTTACTGAGTGATAGTAAAGTTCATTGAATGATAGAGTATGAAGCTCCCAAAGAAGGAGGGGACCCCAAAGGTTTGCCTGGATATTAAGTTTTATAGGTATTAATTTGTGTAGTATATGAAATATCTTCTATAAATCCAATTTTCAACATAAAAAAATATCAGCACCTAATTATATATAGTATCTTTATCTCTACCATGGATTAGGAACAAAAAACCTAGGCAAGTTCTAATGGAATTGCAAAGAAATTTTTTTCTTCTGTATGGTTCCTTTAAGAACTTTATAATCTCTTCTCATCCATTATTTCCATCTAAGAGCTATTTATTAAAGATTATTCTTTGCCAGACCATATGTTAAGTTCTGCCTTTGATGTCCATAGCTTTTTTTTTTTTTTTTAAAGATTTTATTTATTTGAGAGAGAGAGAATGAGAGAGAGCACATGAGAGGGGGGAGGGTCAGAGGGAGAAGCAGACTCCCTGCCGAGCAGGGAGCCTGATGCGGAACTCGATCCAGGGACTCCAGGATCATGACCTGAGCCGAAGGCAGTCACTTAACCAACTGAGCCACCCAGGCACCCAATGTCCATAGCTTTTATGAGCTTATTTTATTAGCAGAGAGAAACATATATGCAGACAACTAAACTATGATACCTTAGGGCAAGAAATGCTGTAATTTGGTTATAAATGAAATGCTTTGGGACTAGAGAAAAGGAAGTAATAAATTCCCATTTGTAGGGAGTAAGTTTGAGGAAAGGGGATAGAGAGGAAGAATACAGAGAAATTTCATGGAAAAAATTATAGTAGAATCGAGCATAGGAAAATGAACAAGGTTTCTCCAGGTACATAAAAGAGTATTACAATTAGAAATATATATATATATATATATATATAAGCAGAAATCCGGGAGGCTGTAAAAGAACCTGTTTGGAGAATAGCATGATGGAATACAGCCTACACCTGTTTTGGAGCCATAAGTATTATATCAAAGAGTATGATTTTATTTTATAAGTATTCGGGAACCCTGAGAGTTTTTAAGCAGGGTAATATGATCATATTTACTCTTTAGGAATAAAACTGGTAGTTTAGAAGATGGTCTAGATTGAAGGCAAGGAAAGCAGTTGATTCAGATGCCCAAGCAAGAGATAGGACAACAGTATCATCATCATCATCATTATTATCATCATTTTAAGGGGCCTGAGAGATCATATGGTATATTGTAAACTCCTCTGTGAAGTCCTAGGATGCATTAGGAGCCACATAGTAAGGGGTATATATAATACTTTGTGCCCTTATACTCCTACTTAAACTAATGGCCTTCTGAATTTGTTTGATGTACATATTGGTCTTCTGAATATAATTATTGCTGAAATAAAGAGTACTGTGGCTAAAAAGAAATCACTGAGTAACCTAACCTCTTTCCAAGACATCTCAGACAGGTAGTCATATAGCTCCTTCCAGAGTGCCAGGGAGCTAAGAGGAAGTTAGTTCTGTTATTGGATAGTTTCTGATACTGGATAGTTGATACAGAGTTCTATCCTGGGAATTAGGGGATATTATTTGTCCTAAGGTCATTATCTGTATCCAGTAAACATTGTGGCATTAACTTCCAACTTCTAAGTATCCACAAAAATTTCCATTCCACTGTGCTTCTTGTAACTGGAAGGAATTTAAATATGTGTATACTCGTTTCCATACATAATCAAAAGGTGGATGGAGTCACAACTCTGAGTTTTCAAGAAAAAGTCCTCGGTATTAAGATATTTTAGCTGAATTATATAATAAACAAACAATTATAATAAACATGTTTAAATATTCCTTTTGGAATATAATTCTAATAATGGGATGGTGTTTGCTTTCTGATTCTAAGGATTTATGGTTTGAAATTGATTTTCTGATTTAGCTAGCCTCAAAGGACTTAGGCTAGAATATTTTCAAAAGTTTGTAAGGCACTGAGAGTCTGTTTCAGGTTGTTGGGTGTATTGTTATTCTACAGACAACTTTTTCTTGTTTTTTTGTTGTTGTTTTTTTGTCTCTCCAGCTACATTATTGAGCAGGGAGTTTGTTACTTGGTTTTGTGTGAAGCTGCCTTCCCTAAGAAACTGGCTTTTGCCTACCTAGAAGATTTGCACTCAGAGTTTGATGAACAGCATGGGAAGAAGGTGCCCACTGTGTCTAGGCCCTATTCCTTTATTGAGTTTGGTAAGTTTTTGCTCTTCATCTCTATATCAAGAGAGCAAACAATATGGAGAAGCTGTTTGTTACATTGATAATAATTTTGACACATTTTTATTTGATGTTTACTTACTGAAGTTTTGAATTCTGTCTTTTCCATTCCATCTCTTTTTTTTTTTTTTTTAAAGATTTTATTTATTTATATGAGAGAGAGCGAGCACATGAGAGGGGGGAGGGTCAGAGGGAGAAGCAGACTCCCTGCCGAGCAGGGGAGCAGGGAGCCCGACGCAGGACTCGATCCAGGGACTCCAGGATCATGACCTGAGCCGAAGGCAGTCGCTTAACCAACTGAGCCACCCAGGCGCCCTCCATTCCATCTCTTTTTGTCCTTCTGAGTGAATGAGACTTCTCATAAGTAATTTCCCTGGTCTTTTGATCTTTTTCTTAGAACTTGTTGCCTTTTGCCCTTTTTGTGATTTGGTTTGAACCCAGTAAGGTTCATTTTCTGTAGATCAGAATTTGGAAATCAGAAAGAAGGTATTTTGTTTCTTTCAGATCCTCTAGTTAAAAAAAAAAAATACTGGAAGAGGTATGATATTGGGGAGAGATAACATTTATTACATGCAGAAATAGTATGGGTGTCCATGTATAGTAATTACAGAAAGCTTCATCACCAGTAAAGTATCTGATGGCAGTAAATCAAAGGAAATGTCTTGAGTACCCTAATTAGAGGAAGTGAGAATAAGTATGATTAGATTACATTACTGATGGGGCGCCCGGGTGGCTCAGTCGTTAAGCGGCTGCCTTCGGCTCAGGTTGTGGTCCCAGGGTCCTGGGATCGAGCCCCGCATCAGGCTCCAGTCTCCCTGCTTGGCGGAGAGCCTGCTTCTCCCTCTCTCTGCTGCTCTGCCTACTTGTGCTCTCTTTCTCTGTGTTAAACAAATAGATAGAAATCTTTTAAGAAAAAAAAAAAAAAAGATTACATTACTGATATTTTTAGTTAAAAAAGAAATTGGTTTTACTGTTTCCGAATTTCTGAAGTGTTTCCAGTTTGCTAAATGGTCATCTTACTCTTAAAAATAAAGAAAATTTAGCAAAACACTCCAGTGTTTCATAACTACAAACTCTCTAAGTGCTAATTTTTATAATGTCTGGTTTTCAAATTTTGTTTTTGAAGATAATAAAGGTCCAGTAAACCCAAGAAAAAAAGAATACTGTATCAAGATCACACAGGAAATATTTGGTACACTCAGATTAGCTTAAAGGATTATATACAAAGATGAATGGGTTATAGGTGAACCACAAAGTACAGTAACCTGAGATCAGTAACACAGTAATTATTTTCATCCCTAGGCCTGAAGGGATAAGAGAAAGGAGCACTTTCTGGAACTGCAAAGGAGAAAATTTATAGAGAAAGCCAACTTGAGAGGAGCAGTAACTTCTAGTTGGAGGGATACTGCCAGGCCAGGGTGACTTCTCAGGGAGAGGTTGGGAATAAATACCCTAACGTCACTATCTGCTTTCATGCCTTACTCTTGGGGTTCCCTCATTGGCTGAACCTAACTGGAAGCTCCAGGGCAAGGAGCTCACGATGTAGTCCATGCGGGTCAGCTTCCTGAGGCAAAAAGCGTGGTGCAGAAAGGTAGAGAGGAGGTCTAAAAAGGCAAATGAGAGGTATCCACCACATATAACTTAAGATTTTTGCCAAAAGTTGAAAATATAATTTTTAATAATAAGTCATTCTTTTTACAGTTTTGAGAAATACAGACATGGGCTAACCATGAATAAGACTGCAGTTTTATAGTGGGATTTTGCTTTACCTGAAGTTTAAGAACAGAGTGAAATTAGGAATGTATGTTAAAATATTTTAAGACAATGTTTTTACCCCTTTTGATGCTAGAATAACTCTTGCCGTGTTAACTTGTAGTGATGCTAGATTGTTGCCAGGATTCTTTTCAGGGAGTGTAAAGAATTAAGTAGTGAAACCCTAAGGATCCTCGGAACATGTTTTGAAAATCTCTGCTTTCAGGAAAGGCTTATTACAGTGGGTCTTAATTTCTCTAAGGACCCTGAGAGCAGAGACTTCTCATTTGAAGGTATGCAGAGGACATTTCTCTTGAATGGTCATCTATCTACATTTTACAAATGAAGAAATCAAAACTCAAATTTTGATGCTCACTCAAGAGCTTGCTTAGCCATGGACAATTGCCGATCCAGGACTAAACTCAGAACTTCCTATTCCCTACAGTACTTTGATGGACAAAGTTGTTCATGGTCATTTTTCTTCATTATTCTAGACACCTACATTCAGAAAACCAAGAAGCTCTACATTGACAGCCGTGCTCGGAGAAACCTAGGCTCCATCAACACTGAATTGCAAGATGTGCAGAGGATCATGGTGGCCAATATCGAAGAAGTGTTACAACGGGGAGAAGCACTCTCAGGTATGTAAAGAATTAAGAGTCCTATATAGGCAAGGATAGCTTATTTTGGGATACTTTTTTTTTTTGCTGTCAGATTCTGTCTAGCACTGTTAAGAATTCACCTCTTAGAGATAGATTACATTACAAAACTTCCAATATGTTTTTCTTCCTAGCATGATTAGTTTTTGTTGAGTTGGAACGGTGTGAAGGTCTCATTCCATATCAGAAGCAATTACTGCTTCCAAGATATTTACAATGTTAAGTAAATATTTACAGAAACACATAAGGGAAATGAAAAGAAGAATGAGAGGAAACTGTCAAAGATTTATTGTAGTGGTTTCCTGACTAGCCACTTTGGGAGACTTTATTGCTGCCAGATCAAATGTCATAAAATGCCATTTTTATCAAGGCATTCCTCTGCTGAAAAACTTTAAAAATCTGTGACTACAAGATAAGATCTAGTCTGGTCTCAACTTTTCATTCTTACTGCATGTTTGTAATGTGTAAGGCATTGTGTTCTCTGTAATGGAAGATAAGGAAATTGCAAACTTCTTTCATGCTCTCTAGTTCACAAACGTTCTGCCTCAGCCAGGTCAGCTTCCTCACCATCTCGGACCTGTTCTTTAAGATCCAGATAAGAACTACCTCTCCCAAGAAGCCTTCCCTGATTCTAATAGCCCACATCACATTAATCTGTTTTGTCTTTTAAACTGTTAAGACACTTAGCTATGTAATGGTTTTTTAAGCACATAATGGGTGTGTGTGCATGTGTGTGTATGTATACTTACCTAATTTGCCTTAAAGTATATATATTTACCTAATGTTTAAATATTACCTAAGTGTTTAACGTACTCTTTAAATGTAGTATTTATGTATTTCATATTTATTTCATATACTTGCTTTATTTCTCTCACAGTAATGATTACAGATAGATGCCTTAATGAGTATTTCATGAACTCAACCTTGTGACATTATTCATGAGTAAATGGGTTTTCCTTCATTATGAACTGCAGATTGTAACCTTTATGTTAGTAGTCATCAGTTGTTCCAGCAAATAGCTTCACACTCTTTAAACATCAAATTTTGGATGAGTGAGTCTATAAATTTTCATCATAACAGCCTTACTGTTTCTACCTGGGATAAAATAGACCAGAACAGGAATTTTTCTTAAATCTAAAATGTATATCTGGTCAGTTTATCAAAAGTGTTAAAGGATTCTCTTCTAGTGCTGTGCTGATTGGAAAAGAAGACAGTTGACCTTTGAACAGCGTGGGGGTCAGGGGCTCCACATGTAACTTTTGACTTCCCAAAAACTTAACTACTAATAGCCAACTGTTGATTGGAAGCCCTACCCTTAATGTAAACAATCAATTAACATGCTATTTTGTATGTTACACATATTATATACTGTATTCTTACAGTAAAGTAAGTTAGAGAAAAGAAAATGTTTTTAAAATCATAAGGAAGAAAAAATAAATCTACGGTATTCTGTAAAAAAAAAATCTGTGTATAAGCAGAATGAGCACAGTTCAAACCCATGTTGTTTAAGAGTCACCTGTACTTTTCTAATCATAATAACTTCATCTAATTGGGAAGATAAGAAACAAGGTCATTGTCACAGAGTACTTTATAGATAGTATAAGGGAACAGACATCAATTGAACACTTTGTGTTAGGCAATATGGTAGGGGGACTTTTTTTTTTTATTTTCTTAAAAGAGTTTATTTATTTGTCAGAGACAGAGAGAGAGCACAAGCGGGGGGGAGCGGCAGGGAGAACAGGCAGAGGGAGAAGCAGGTTCCCTGCTGAGCAGGGAGCCCAGTGCGGGACTCCATCCCAGGACCTGGGGTCATGACCTGAGCTGGAGGCAGACGCTTAACTGACTGAGCCACCTAGGCATCCCATGGGACTTTATTTTTTTTAAGATTTTATTTATTTATTTGAGAGAGAAAGAGAGCGTGGGGGAGGGGCAGCTGGAGAGGGAGAGAGAGAATCTCAAGCAGACTCCACGCTGAGCACAGAGCCTGACGTGAGGCTCCATCACACGACCCTGAGATCATAACCTGAGCCAAAATCAAGAGTCAGATGCTTAACCCACTGAGCCACCCCAGCACCCCAGGGGGACTTTATATATATCTTATTTATGCTTTAGAGTAATCCCTTGTGAATTGGGTGGTATCAAACAAGTTTTACAGATAAAGAAGCAGACTCAGAAAAGTTAGGTAGCTTGCTTTTAGTCACACTGCTAGTGCCTGGCAGAATTCATTGGTCTCTGCAGGTCCTTGTCCATCTTCAGTGTGTGATAGTTTTAAATGGATATATAAACAATAAGAGCTGTAAAATGTAGCAGGAAATAGATAATGTGAAGTGAACAGGGAAGATTTCTTGAATTTTGATAGATCAGGAAGAAGTGAAGAGTGGTATTTTAAGAGGGAGGAAGAAAAAGCGTATCTGAACAGAGCATATCTGAAGGATAGTGAAAAGATCAGCCTACCTCAAAAAATGTTTTCTTCTTCTTTAAGCTTCTTCATAATAAGAAGCCATCTTTTATGCCTTCTTTCTCTTTCTAGTTTTTTTAAAGATTTATTTGTTTATTTGAAAGAGGGAGAGAGAGGGCACGTGATGGGGAGGGGCAGAGGGAGAGAGGGAAAGGGAGTCTCCAGTGGACTCTGCGCTGAGTGCAGAGCCTGCTGCGGGGCTTGATCCCAGGACCCTGAGATCACGACCTTAGCTGAGACCAAGAGTTGGTCACCCAAACAGCTGTGCCACCCAGGTGCCCCTCTAATTTTTTTTTTTTAATATTTTATTTATTTATTTGACAGAGAGAGACACAGCAAGAGAGGGAACACAAGCAGTGGGTGTGGGAGAGGGAGAAGCAGGCTTCCTGCTGAGCAGGGAGCCTGATGCGGGACTCAATCCCAGGACCCTGGGATCATGACCTGAGCCGAAGGCAGACGCTTAACGACTGAGCCACCCAGCCTCCCCCTCTAATTTTTTTTTTTTAAGATTTATTTATTTTAGAGAGAGAGAGAGTGAGCAGGGAGGAGGGGCAGAGGGAGAGGGAGAGACTTTTTTTTTTTTTTTAAAGATTTTATTTATTTGACAGAGAGAGACACAGCAAGAGAGGGAACACAAGCAGGGGGAGTGGTCGAGGGAGAAGCAGGCTTCCTGCGGAGCAGGGGGCCCGATGTGGGGCTTGATCCCAGGACCCTGGGATCATGACCTGAGCTGAAGGCAGATGCTTAACGACTGAGCCACCCAGGCGCCTGGGGAACGAGAGTCTTAAGCAGACCCCCCCACTGAGCATGGAGCCCAACGTGGGGCTTGATCTCACGACCTGAGTCGAACCAAGAGTTGGACCCCTAACCACCTGTACCACCCAGGCACCCCTCTCTAATTTTTAGTTTTAGAGCTAGTCTGCCTTGCATTTAAGACCTAAGAGTAGTTCCCAGTGGGTTCTTTCAGCAATATGAAATTGCGCCCGTTTTTACTGCCTAAAATAGCTGTTTCTTTTAAGCCATGGGTTTTGTTGTTTCATTCAGAGGTGTCACCCTACAAGACTGTAAGTTCCCCAAATAGAGGGGTTGTGTATGTTGTCATCATCATTGTATCTTTTGGCACTTTGCATGGTGCTTATAACATAAATATTTGCTCAGTGACTTCTAGTAGTGGCTTTGTCTTTACGATATCATGTGTTTCCAAATGTTCCTGTGTAAAGGAATTCTCTTAACTATTGCTTATTTCGTATGACCTAATATTTGTTCTGCTGCCCAGTTAGTCTCAGCAGATTTAGATTTCATTTAGCAATTTTTTTTTTTTTTATCACTGACTATTACCAGACTCTGTTCTGGGCACTGGGGATATAGCAATAGACATTGGTTAAAAAGTTCTATCCAGTGGAGTGTCCATTTTAGTAGACTGGCTGGAAAGATTCGTCACAGCATTGTCATGGTTATTTCTCATCTCCTAACTTTTCTTATGTGACTAAGTGTTTTTCTTACAGGACAAATTGGTAATTTAGAAGCGGCTGTCATTCTTTTGTCGTTAAGTAATACCACATTTCTCAATCAACTCAGTCTCTATTAAGCAACTCCAAATATTCCAAAAGTATTCCCTAAGGAAGAACAAATTCATATTTCAAAACAGTGTTTTTCAAAAATTTAAAGAAGTAAAGTGATCAAAATTCATTTATGTCACACTGAGAATTTGTTTTTATTATTAAATTATGTCATGTATTTTAGTCCGGTCTAGCTTGTGTCTCTCTGGTTGCTTCTCTAAGTGCTCAGTTAACAGTTATAGAAGGCAGCGACATTACAGATGCCTTTTAGAAAAACAAAACTTTGCTTGGGGCGCCTGGGTGGCTCAGTTGGTTAAGCGACTGCCTTCGGCTCAGGTCATGATCCTGGAGTCCCTGGATCGAGTCCCGCATCGGGCTCCCTGCTCAGCGGGGAGTCTGCTTCTCCCTCTGACCCTCCCCCCTCTCATGTGCTCTCTCTCAAATAAATAAAAATCTTTAAAAAAAAAAGAAAAACAAAACTTTGCAAAAGATTCTAAAAAGGTTAATTTAGTAGGTATTGGTGGTTTTCCAGCACCTGTGATTATATTTTAGTTACAAGACAACTTTCCTATGTCTGTTGAAATATAATTTCTGGTAGCATCATAATGGTTTTTACCATGTGGAGAATCTTGGGAATTCGGTAGCAGTCACCATTAAGATATAGCTCAATACTCAGTTTCTGACTCATTGAATTTTCCGGTTACCTGAGTCTTATCTTGCATGGATAATCATTTTTCAAGATATGAGAGAATATGATTTAGACCATTAAAAGATGATGACGATTATTATCACCTAGCATTTCTCAGAGGCTTATCATATGCAAGGATTGTGTTCACTTTACAGGCATTCTCATGTACCTGTAATCCTGTGATACAGTTAGTGTTATTATCCTCATTTTATAGATGATGAAACTGGGTCTTAGTAGAGAGACTAAGTGAATTGACCAATGTCACATGGCTGGTGCAGCTGAGATTAAAATTTACAAAGACTCTGAGACCAGAGCCAGCACTCTTAACCACCTCACGGTACAGCCTCAAGAATTTGAACATAATTTAGTCTGGTAACTTTAAAATGCAGTGTAGATTTTATAGTGCATCAGGATCATGGGTTAATCAGTGTATGCACCCTAACCCTTAAAATAAAAATGATAATTTAAGCTTCATGGTTGTTTGGTATGGTCCCACTCATTTGCGTTATTTTTATGCTTAATACATTAGACAGAATACTTCAGGGACTAATTACTGTTTTCCTTTTTTCCTCTTTGACAGCATTGGATTCAAAGGCTAACAATCTGTCCAGTCTGTCCAAGAAATACCGCCAGGACGCGAAGTACTTGAACATGCGTTCCACTTACGCCAAACTTGCAGCGGTTGCTGTGTTTTTCATCATGTTAATAGTGTATGTGCGATTCTGGTGGCTGTGAAGTAGTGAATCCAGTCACTGGCAAGGGTGAACCTAGAGCTCGGCAGGTGTATGTTTTCAGGAAACTGAGCTCACAGAGATGTGTATTAGAGTTCCAAGTGGAACTTCTGCTTCTAAAGACCTTGCAAGGAAAGACATATCCTGAAAATGAAATGTTACACCTCATTTGATGAAGCTTACGCCTTTGTAGAAAGTCTCTTTTGGGGGCAGAGGCTTTCTCTGGGTGCTGAGCTGTATACGTTAGGGAACAGTAGATTGTTTTATTTTGTTTTTTCCCTCCCAGTGTTTTTACATTTTTAAAACAGCACTGAGTGGGGCATTTCCTTTCTCTAATGGAGCCATCAGTGAGATCTGGCTTAGCCAACCTGTGCTAGCAACAGTCTGAAATTGCTTCAGAGAAGGCAGCCCGTTGGGAAGTTTTTTCACTCTAGTCAACATTCCTTTTGTTGGTGACATTTGTGCTTTTCAGTTTTTGATGGCCTTGTAAACAAGACTCCACTATGTGAAGGTTAATTGCTGTGCTGTAAAGATGTTGTCTGTTGGCCCCTGTAGGAAGTTGACCTTTGTTGTTTTCATTTTATGATATTTTGCTTATTGCACAACTGCTTTAGGGTTAAATGAATTATATTAAGATGCCTTGAAATTATATTATAGCACTCCTTGATTAAGAAGCTAAAGTGTTTTCTGTCATTTTCTCCTTAAAAGACTTAAATTTAGTTTGGGACATTCTTAATTTTATCTTTCAGCATCCAGTTTGTATTAATAGAAGAGTAAGTATAGCATACAGATAGCCAGAGTCCCCTGACTTAATGGGAAGAAAGGCCCAGCCCATCACTACAGCTTTGTCCTGCCCCTTCTTACTTTCTCCACTGTAGTTTTGCCCACTCTCTTTTCCTCCTGCTGAAATTGTAAAACTTCTCTGCACCCAGTAGTTTCATGTCCATAAGCATCCTCTCAGGATATTCTTGAATTTCAAAATGGAAAATGTTTAGCTGTGTAGTTAGATTTAAATTTTTACAGAGCAACTACTCAAACTACTAAATACATTTATCTGAATAAGTCTCTGAGAACACCTTGTACCTGCTTCAGTTTATGTAAATTCTCTGAGAATGTTCTAGAGTTAGATAACTCATTTAAGTGGCTTCTATTAACAAATAAAAGTACCTGTGATTTTTCCCTTTTTTGCTCAGGGATGATGGGGATTTCCTTTTACCTTCTGAGGTAGAATTTTTTAAATGGGGAGACTAGACCTCTTAAATATTATCACAAGGAACTACAATATAAACTAGAATTTACACATACTGCAAATATTTCTTTAAGTCCTATAGGAAAATGAGCCAGCTTCTTACTTCTTAACGTCTTTGGAGAGAACTTTAACTAGTAAACAATTTTATAACTAAGGGATCATCAAAGGTACTGTCCTGATTCCTGATAGAGAAAAAAAATCCTATTTCCTAATAACAAAGCAAGGAGAAGTGGCTTATTTTGTTCCTGATAAATTACAGAACTAGAATAAATTTTTTTTCTTTCCATTTTGGACCTAAGTCTGCCAATTGGAGTATGTGCATGAAATATGAAGTTACTTTTTATAGAGAATAAGTGCTTTTAAGTCCCTAAAAGGCTTGTCCCTAGAGTAATGATATTGGTAATAAAAGCCTGAAAGTCTGAAAACCTTAGTGGTACCATAACATTTGGTTCTTCTATAGGAGTGGAGAGTGGCAGCTCGTTGTTGAGAGTTGCATGCAGCAACCAAGTGGCCAGCAATGAAATAAATACTTCTAGAATGTTCCCTTCAGTGTGAAGTTTTATTATCTAGTTATCTTATGTGCACATAGTTTTCTGGGTACATTTCTACCAAACTCATTGGGTTAATTAAAAAATGAGAACGGGGGCAGAATGATGAAGAAAGGAATGAGAAAGTGGTTTAATGTTACGACGGTAGAAAAATGAGAGAACAAGACTGTTGTGATGTGGCTCCCACTTCCGCTCTTCATTGGAGGTAGTGGGAGGATCCGAGCAGATGAAAAGTATCCGCAGCCAACCAGGCATCTAAAATAGAATGTGATAAATACTGTCTAATGTTATTGGGGGCACATTAAGAAAGGACACCTAATTTACTTTGGGAAGGAATGTGGTAAGAGAAGGGGTTTGTTTTTTGAAAATCATTTTGCTTAACTTTAAGTGAATCAGATGTAGAAAAATGTTGAATTAACATTGAGATCAAGTGAAAACGTAAAGGACCAAATAAACTAAGATGAATAAAAAACAAGGATGAAAAAGAGCAAACAAGAACTCAAGAGCCAAAAATATTAAAAAGGTACAAAGGGAGAAATGACAGAGAAGTAAATTTTTTAAGGAGAGTAATAAAATGGAAAATGTTTAGCTGTGTAGTTAGATTTAAATTTTTACAGAGCAACTACTCAAACTACTAAATACATTTATCTGAATTTAATCACTCAGTTCTAGTTAAGTTTATTTCAAGTGCTGAACCTGAATCCATATTTTAGATTAGATTTTATTTTTTTTTTCCTTTTTTTCTATGTCCTTTTGCCTTTTTCTCTGCCTCCCCATTGTTTCCCCTCACTTCTTTATCCTTTTCCATTTTAGTTCATTTCCCTAGGTGCTGTTTTTGCTCAGGAGTTAATGTAAGACTACGACTTTACTTCTGTAATCGAGAACTTCAGAATCAACTTATATTCACTCTGTTTTTAGATCTTAGTTTATTTTACCTTTTAGTGATTTTATAATACACAGTATTGTCTTACCAGTTAATACAGCTATGCCTCTGCTTTGAGATACCCCTTTATAAAAAACCTCAAACATTTCAAGAATTCAAGAACAAGCTCCTCTAGTTTGTCTCCTGTATTTAGGGCTTCAACTATCATTGTATTACTGGTAACTCCAAAAATACCTGTCTGTCCTCAAACTTGAGGTCCAGGCCCCAACTTTTTTGCTGCTTATTGGGTATCTGTATTTGAATAGCCCATAAATTCTTCAGTGCATTTGAATAGCCCATAAATTCTTCAGTGCATCTAAAACATTACTTCCATTACTCTCAAAGTAAAACCTGACCTCTGCTTCCTACTGTAGTTCTAATTTTTAGACCTCACCTGCCACCCCTACAAGTCATGAATCGCATTTGTCTCTTCTGTTTTCTCCTTTCACCTCTCCACTGTTAACCAAAATCTAGTTCTCATAACCGCCGAAATATTTCTCATCTATGACTTTCTTTCCTTTTGGCCTTAGATTCAAACTCTCATTAGCTTTAATTGGGCTCTTGCAGTGGACTCCTTACTACTTAATACACGTCCCTCTTTAACTCAGTACTACCATGTTAATACCAGAAATTTTCTTAAAGAGCTCATCGTACCCCCATTTCCTTTGGTAATACCACCAGTTTACTTTCATAGTCTGGCCCCACTGTATCATTCCAGACTCTCTTGCCATTCCCCATCACCTCTTGTTTCAGTCCCAGTGAATTTATCTAGCCTTCTCTAAACAGTCAAGCACTTTATCTTTGCCCCGGCTCATTCATGCCTTCTCCCCAGACTTTGTGTGTGTGTGTGTGTGTGTGTACCTTACCTATCCTTTTCACTTTCAGTCTACTAAAGTTCTGCTCATCTTTCAAAGACCCAGCTCTGTAGTCTCCTTTGTAGATCCTTCCTAACATTTTCACATCCTCCCTCCCACCAACCTGGGAGAAGCTATGGATTCATCCTCTCAGAGCAACTTGTTCATATTTCTAGTGTAGAACCTACAAACTTAAAATACAGTGTGCTCTTGTCTCCGCTGTATACTTCGTGAGGTCCCTGAGGGAGATACCAGTTGTTGTTCATGTGTATTTAAATCCTTGGCACTTGATGCAACGGCAGACATGGAGGTACTAGGCAAATATTTGCAGAATGACTAACTGACCTAAAAAATTTATGCACAAGTTTTCTGGAAATGGGCTGCTCTGTTAAGTCACGGATATACACATATTTTGAATGAAAGGAGAAAGCCAAAGTAGGATAAAGTAGTGTCGGCTTAATAAGGGATGGAAAGAGGAGCTCCTGGGTGGCTCAGTCAGTTAGGTCATGATCTCAGTGTTGTGATATCAAGCCCCGCAACGAGCCCCGCATCTTACTCGGCGATAGGTGTGGAGCCCGCTTGAGATTCTCTCCCTCTCCGTCTGCCCCGCCCCCCCCCCCCCCAAATAAGGGATGGGAAGGGGAAAAGGCAAATGAAAAAGAAAGGAGCAACAGGAAGATTCTAGCAATATATGGTGAACACATTGGAGAAAAGGAGGAGAGATAATTCGGCAAATGAAATTGATTCTTTAGGGCAGAAACAATTGGAAGGTAAGGTGAAGAGGGAGAAGAAATGAAGATGTGGAGACAAATTTGACTTGAAGAGAAAGTACAAAAGTCAAATAGACTGGCAGATCTCAGTCTGGAAATGTTTTCAGTTGGCCACAGGCATCATGCTTGTATGTTGTGTGAATATTATTAAGTGAGCTTTTTCATGTCACTTAACCCCTTGCCAAATTGTCATCTGAAAAAGTGACTCCAAGATAAATACCTTGACCACCATGCCATATAAAGTAAGACGTATTTTACCACGCTAGAGTTAAGAAACTGGTTTGGGGCGCCTGGGTCACTCGGTCAGTTAAGTGTCCAACTCTTGATTTCAGCTCAGGTTATGATCTTGGTCGTGAGACTGAGCCCCGTGTGGGCCTCTGCGCTCAGTGCGAAGCCTGCGATTCTCTCCCTCTGCCCCTCCCCCCACTTGCGTGTGCTCTCTAAATAAATAAATAAATAAATAAATAAATAAAATCTTAAAAATAACCTTAAAAAAAGAAACTGGTTTAAGGCTTAGTTGTGACCAACTGATTGCAGTTTGCGAACTTCTCCTAGTGATTCCCTTGCAAGTAGTGTGGGTAGGCAGTGAGGTTTGTTGGGCTGGGCATGCAGAGGCAGATAGTAAGACCTATAAAAGTAAGGACTGAAGAGCATATTTATTTGTATGCCTTTTGTTTGGCCATTTACATTAATATGGAAAGCATGTTATTTGCACACTTAGAACTTTAGAATAAAAGTACTTTGACTCTGAAGCTGGTTTTTCTTGATTGTTTTCATCTTTTTTTTTTCATCTTTACATTTTCTTTCATCTTTCTCAAAACTCAGTTTTCCCCTATAGCAGAGTTGGGACCTACCATTATAAAAATAATTATTTATGTATTTATTTTTTGAAGATTTTATTTTATTTGAGACAGAGAGAGAGAGCACAAGAGGGGGTAGGGTGAGAAGGAGAAGCAGATTCCCTGCCGAGCAGGAAGCCTGATGTGGGGCTCGATCCCAGGACTCTGGATCATGACCTGAGCTGAAGGCAGTCACTTAACCAGCTGAGCCACCCAGGTGCCCCTATAAAAAAATTTTTAAAAAAAGTCTGCTTGCTAAAGATTCTTAAAAAAAAAAAAAATGCTAAGGACTTTTGAGCAAAAGTTTAAGACGTTCTGCTATAGCCTATCGGCTTGCTTGTGGGGTTTACGTAGATACGTTTGTTGTTGTGGCTACAGTAACAGTGTAGAATTATATACAGAACAGTATATTTATTTTCATCAGTTAGGTAAACAATGTAGTGTAAAACGGACATTACTGAAGAAGGATAGAGATTTATATGAAACTGCAACAGAGACAAACTGCTGCCATCACATACAGCAGTGGAGGGGGGAGAAGGTTAGAAAATACTGAACAGAGAGCCCCGAGACTTGGTTTCTAAACCCAGCTTGCCAGTCTGTAGCTGTGAGACTTCAGGTTACTTAGGCACCCTGTGCCTCAGTTTGCCATGGTTGGAAAATGGGAATGATACCTGCTTCACCTACTTCACGTGGACTGTCTGTCATAACGTGCATCTGTGTCATTAGGAGCAAACGTCATCTATATTTGAGGATAAAAGGAGGCAAAAACGCAGTAATTGTCATGAAGATTTTATGAACCATGAAATGACCTATAAGTACTGCACTGTATCACTATTATCATTACTATTCTAACTGTTCAAGGGAAGCACTGGTGTTCCTCTGGAAACTAACGACCTTGTTGTGTAATAATTTTAGTACTGACGGGGCAGTTTCCTGCCTGGTCTGGTTGTGTTGCAGTATTTAGGAACCCTTATCAGGGTCCATTTCTCGGGTCATGATTTCATGTTCCCAGAAGAGGGCAGCAAAACTCCAATCTGAAGACTTCCTCCAAGTGTACCCTAGAATTTCCTTGAGAGGAAAACAACTATACTGTAAAGAGAAGAGCCTTTAAAAAACGATGGTCTAGGGGTGCCTGGGTGGCTCAGTCATTAAGCGTCTGCCTTCGGCTCAGGTCATGATCCCAGGGTCCTGGGATCGAGCCCCACATCAGGCTCCCTGCTCAGCGGGAAGCCTGCTTCTCCCTCTCCCGCTCCCCCTGCTTGTGTTCCCTCTCTCACTGTGTCTCTGTCAAATAAATAAATAAAATCTTTAAAAACACACACACACACACACACAAAAAGATGGTCTTTACGTGACAGACAAGTCAAATCTCATTGCTATAAATAAATGCCATAACAAAAATTGACTCATTTTAAATAATTTTTTGCCTTTTCTCTGTCCTCTGAGGAAAATAATTTGGGCTATTTCTTTAATCTCAGTTTAATGATTTGACGTGTACAACCAAAAACCTTTAGCGGTGTTTTTCCATTTAACCCCAGATTTTTAGATCTCACATAATAGCACCAGTTCTTAAATAATTTTTTTTAAACAAGAAGAAAGTTGTTCAGGCCTGATTTTTTCCGTTTAAGATGCCTGGCTGAGTCCAAAGAATGACTCCCAACAGTGTCTAAATATGTCTGTCATAACGTGCATCTGTGTCATTAGGAGCAAACGTCATCTGTATCTAATATTTCTCATTCTTTTATTTTTCAAATTTGTTTAAAAATATCCTTGTGCTTTTATTGTTTGTAAGAACATCAGCAGCTAACATTTGAACTGTTCTTTTTAAAAAAATTTTTAGAGAGAGAATGTGAGCGAGGGGAGGGACAGAGGAGAGGGAGAGAAAGAATCACAAGCAGGCTCCATGCTCAGCGCAGAGCCCGACGTGGGGCTCCATCCCAGGACCCTGAGATCATGACTGGAGCCAAAATCAAGAGTCAGATGCTTAATGGACTGAGCCACCTAGGCGCCCATGAACTGTTCTTAAATAGCATGTACGGGGCTTTCACATGTTTTCATGTATGTTGATCACCACTATCCCCATCTTACCGATAAATTTTCTCATCTGTGATTAGAACAGCTGTTCTTTGCTTGAAGAGAAAAGTGCAGGCGGAGGCCCCTTGTGGCAAGAGTGTCCTGAGGTGGGTATTTTCTCTCCCCTAATAGGTAGTGCGAGGGCCAATTCTGAATCTGATCCTTTTTCTGTGTGCTTTACTAGAATTAGAGATGGAGTAGAAAGGCTTTCAGGTATAGTTTTTCAATCCCTTCTGCTTTTGTCAGCTCATTTCTAGCTCTGCTTTTTTGAAAAAAAAAAAAAAAAAAAAAGCTGCTCTGTTTCCCACTCCATTCCCTCTACCACCACCCTCGAGTCAGAGTCCTCGTCCCATCCCAGCTAAACCTCTTCCTGTTCTTAAGAATTGCACCACATTCTTGGCTTAATGCAGGCCAACAACCCCACACTGGCACCAGGGAGTGTACAGACCTTCTTTATTGGTTGAAAGTTCTTGTCTGGTGAGCATGGAGTAAGTCACCCACTTCCTGACTTCCCGCTCTGGATGAATTTGCCTCTGGAAAAGAAAATATTCCTTGGATTTTTGTTTGCTTGCTTATAAATGCCCTGGACTGAGGAAGATTTTACCAAGTAGGTAAAGTGTGGAAGGGCATTTGAGGGAGAGAGAATAGTCTGCACACCTTGCTGTTTCTAATTCTTCCCTCCTCCCTCTCTTCAACACAGACTAATCTGGCATTGACTTCCACTGTATGGAAGGGGCTTTCATTAAGGACAGGAATGCCCCCCATTACTAAATCTGGTGGATATATCAGTCTTTATCTTACCTGACACTGAGCAGAAACTGACACCCTTAATCTCCTTGATAGACTCACTGTCTTCCTGTGGTTTCCACACACTATTATTTTTTTTTCCTACTTCCTTGTGGATCTTAGGCATCCTTTGCAAGCTCTTCTTTCTCTACCAACTCCTTAGGTGTTGGTTTTCCTCAGGACCCTGTCCTATGTCAGCCTGTCTTCCCTGTACACATTCTCTGAGAAATCTCCTCTCTTCCATGGCTTTATGAGATTTATATGCCAGTGACTCCCAAATCCCCACCTCCCCTGAACTCCAGACTAATATAACAGCTACCTTCTAGAACCTCTCTGATTGGATGTTCCTGAAGCCGTATTAATCAACTCATTTCCTCAGGCTATTCCTCTTCTGGTGTTCCTTTTCCTAATATATGCCACAACATCCACCCAGTTGCTCTAGTCAGAAACCCTGAGATTCATCTTTGATTTCTCTTTTGCTCACTCTCTCCATTCAATCAATAACCAAGTCTAGTAAAATCTACTTCTTTGAATCTACCCACTTATTCTCATCCTTACCTGGCCTAAGCAATCACCTCTGGACTTTTGCAAGTCTTTGCTAGTTTCCCACCTCTAGTTTTTCTCCCCTTGGATCATTTTCCTCCAGCTACCAGAAAGTTTTTTGTTTTTTTTTTTTAATAAATGCACTTCTGGTAAATTCACCTCCTCCATTTAAAGTAATTTAGTTGCTTCCCACTATCCTTAGGCCAGAGTCCAAATGTCTTAACATGGCTCATAAGCTCCCCACCATCAGCAACCTGCCTACCTGTCATCAGCCTGCACTCCACTCATGCTGGATTCCCGTGGTGCAAACACACACCCGGCCTTCTCTTGCTTCTAGGCCTTCACGAATGCTTGTTCCTCTGCCTGGACCTCAAACATGTCTAATCTAAATTCTACCCCCAAATTGTCATTTATGTTATTCCTGAGTCAGAACTGAATTTGGACACTTAATTTTTAATTAATTCTTGAATTAGAACCCAGTGCACCTTCTCTCACCTATAGATTTCTTAGTTCTTTGAAAAATACCTCCGAGGGTATGTTCAAATGAAAAGATATTTGAGCTAATTAATCTAGATCAGGATTGACTTTTGCCATAGCCAAATATGAGCTGGAACATATTTTTTAAATTACTGGAATGTTTTCTGGATTGTTATTCATCATGACATTCTATCTTTGGAATTTTTTTCTTCATTTCCCTCTGGCTTCTACCACTCTCCTTTCTCACCTCTCAGCCCTTCTTTCGCCTTGGGTTGCCCTGTGCTCGCCCCTCGATGGACCCAGTTTGCACGCAGTGATATAGTTGCCGTGAAGCTGTGGTTAAATAGAACTGCTCAGACTGCAACAGGAAAGCACTGAATCGAAAGCAAAGGGGAGGAAGCACAAACCGATACCCACCACAAAGCTGCTGAGTGCCCAGTGTGACCCAAGCCGCACCCTCTGATGAGGAGCCTTGTGGAGGAGTAAGAAGCCACAGAGTTTAATAAATCATCAGCACAGGCTGTCTTCCACTTCCCCTGAGCCAGCCTTCCTGGGTCACCCACGAGTGTCCCCAGGTCTGGCCTAAGAAGGTGGGTGATGACAGCAAAGCCACCAGAGACTCAGAGGCTGGGGGAAAGTCCCGGAAATGAATGACTGGGGACCATCGGTCTCGGACACTCCCCCTGGTCCAGCTCTGTGCGTGGTTGTAAGCAGCTCTCTGAGTGGCATGATCCCTAGATGAAGGGACCCGTGTTCCCTAAAAGTCCTTTGGCTACCTGCCTGACAAGCTGTTTCTCGTGGTGGCTGAAACTTTTTTTTATTTTATAAGCAAAGATCAAGTCCCTACGCGATACAATTCGAGAACTTCAAATTCACATTAATGTACACATGAGCATTTTCAGATTCTTTCCTGACTTCAGTAGTGGGAGCAGGAGAAAGGAACGAGATGGCACACCAAAGATGCGTCCCACCTACTTTCTGATTTTGCCCCTGGCCTCCCCTGCCTTTTCACACTTGTCCCCTTTGTTGTCAAAGGAGATACTAATTCTTCAGCGGCCTGAATTATGGGGAAAGGGGTGGGAAGTGTGGGGAAATGGGTAGTAGCTGTGTTTAGATTTGAAACGCTGGTAAGGTGGGGAACTGCGTGGGGTCTAGAGTCTCGCAGGGGCTCATTACCTCTGGATCTGGGGAGGTGGGAGCCGGGCCCCACTTTTGCAGCTGGAGAAGCAGGGCACCGAGAAGAGGCGCAGCCATCTGGGTCCGGAGGAAAGGCCGCTTTGCTCGGCTGAAAGTGGGCACTGTGTCTTCATAAAGGGCCAGACTCACACTTCACATAGCAGACAGGAAATACGGTTAGTGCAGCTGGGAGGGGAGAGAGAACTCACTGTGTACCAAGGCCGTGAACTCACTTGTGGCCGCCTTTCACCGCATTTTCCTCTCCTGTAAGTGACCAGGACTGAGTCCCGGGAGCGCTGGGGAGCAGGTGAAGCACGCCTTCGGGCCAACCCCTTTCCCTCCTGCCGGCTCACCTCTCCAAAGATGCTCCACTTTTGGGTTCTCTTTCATCCCAGAAAATCTTCCAAGATCTAGATCATTAATGAAGTTCCAGTGGAGGAATGATAGGTACTTTGATAGGAGGTGAGGGAAACAGCTCTTCTCTTACAAGGCCAGATCTACACGTGGCAAAAATGTGGCCTCTGTTTTAGCAGCCCCAACAGCAGTGAGTCAGAATGGATCCTAATAAAGTAAAAAAGGAATGGAGTTTGTAGTCAGATGGTTTTGTTTTGAAACTACCCTTGCCTCCCTCCCTCCTTCCCTCCTTTCCTTTCTTCCTCCCTTTCAGAGAGGAAGGAGGGGGAAGTAGCCAGAGAATGGGAAGGTCCTCGAAGCTCAGAGGGATGCTACAAGCTTCCCAAGCCAGGCTGCCTGCCCAGAGTGTGCCCGCTGTCTTGAGTGGTCAAGGACATTCCTCTTGTTAAACCCTCGAGTCGTGTTTGATAACCAGGCATGATCCAAGCTGTAAAGAGCGGGCTGACTCCCCAGGTGCCATCTGTCAGCTGGTGACCTGCCCTGCTACATTACATTGCTGAAACAGGGAAAATGAACAAAATGAGTGCAAAGAAGGGGGAGACGGTGAGAGCGAGCTGCTTTTGAAAACGCTTACTTAGGAAGAAGAGACAGAAGTTGGCTGGAGGGCACATGAAGTAAAGAATGGATTTCATTTTTTTAGACCAGGAGAGGTTTGGGTATGTTTACATACTTAAGGAGAGATCTCACTTCATTCCTAAGTTTTGATTCTCTCCTCTGGGGGGAAAAAAAGGAGAGGTTTCTATGAAGTTTAAAATTAAATGAAAATCAAATGCACGGTGGTGGCATTTACACCGCAAAGCCCTTTACACATGCTAATTATAAGTGTCATCATCTAGCATCTGTACAGATGAGTAAGCCCTGGTCACAGCTGCTCTGTCTCAGGCTCTTCTACCCCATATGACGGGCTGTGAGGAGGACATGGGCTCTTGACTAGGCAGGGCCAAGACCTACCAGGGACAGGCTAATCGTGGTGTGACCCGGATCTCGCCATGCTTTGGACTTTGGGGAGATGGTGTGTGTCTGCTACCCATGTGTGTCTTACTAGATACAACGAGTTGCCATTGTATTCTCTACCTTGCCCCGGATTCTGTCGAAAAAGCTTTACTTTAGGGAAAACATTTTTTTTTTATTCTTATGTTAATCCCTATACATTACATCATTAGTTTTAGATGTAGTGTTCCATGATTCATTGTTTGTGCATAACACCCAGTGCTCCATGCAGAATGTGCCCTCCTCAATACCCATCACCAGGCTAACCCATCCTCCCACCCCCCTCCCCTCTAGAACCCTCAGTTTGTTTTCCAGAGTCCATCGTCTCTCATGGTTCGTCTACCCCTCCGATTTCTTAGGGAAAACATTTTTAGAAATTAAAAATGCCCTTCTTGAGATGCAAGAGATGTACAAATAGGATTCTCAACGTGGATTTCTGCTTAGACAAAGAAGCAGTTTCCTAAAAGTTACCTCATGTTAACCCACAGCTTTGTTAAGAAGGGTCCGCACTTTATCTGTACAGATGAGTAAGCTGGATTCCCATGGTGCACGGGAGCTCTACACAGCATGATACACACAGCGAATCAGTGAAGTCTTTATTCTCTTAATTATTCGCTTTGCAGTTTTCGCTTTGAACCATCCTACATCCATGCCGATCGTGTAAAGATACCCTGCAAATTCCACTCCCACATTTCCTCACATTTCCTCTCCCTTTCCCACCTGGCTTTCCAACCTTCAGACGATTTATGTCTTCATTTCTGGCTGTATCTCTTGCCTATTCCTTACCATCCCTCCCCCATCCCTTATTCTGTCCTCCTCTTCCCCTGGCCCCTCTCTGGCTCCAGCTTTTATTACTAGCAACCCTGTAGGCCAATCCCACAGCATGTTCCTTCATGCATTACACGAACTCATTTTTTTGAGGGCACTGAACAGAACAGTGTGGTGTCATTTTCCAAGAGCAAGCAGCCACTTTCTAGAAATAGCTGTACTGAGATAAAATGTATATACTGTAAAGCTCACACCTTTAAAGTATACCGTTCAATGGGTTTTAGTATGTCGTGTTGTGCATCCATCACCTTGATTAATGTTAGAACCTTTTCATTCTCCCAAAAAGAAACCTGTACTGGTTAGTACCTGTAACCTCACTCACCATTTCCGCTCCCCCATCCCTCCCCCCTTCACTCTCCCTAATTCTAGGCGACCGCTAATCTACTTTCTGTTTCTATGGATTTGCCTGCACTAAACATTTTATATAGGTGAGATCACACAACAGGTGGTCTTTTGTGACTGGCTGCTTTCACCTAGCAAAATGTTTTTGAGGTTCCACCATACTGTAGCATGTTTCTGTACTTCATTGCTTTTTATTACCGAAGAGTATTCCACAGTATGGCTATATCACATCTTGTTTATCCATTCACTGGCTGGTGTACATTTGGGTTGCTTCCTTTTTTTTTCATTATGCACATAAAGCTGCTATGAACATTCACGTACAAGTTTTTGGGTGGACATATGGTTTCATTTCTCTTCGGTAGATATCGAGGATTGGAATTGCTAGGTCATATGGTAACTCTATTTTTAGCATTTAGAGGGACTGCCAAACCATTTTCCAAAGTGGCTACACCATTTTACTTTCCCATCAGCAGTGTATGAGGATTTCAATTTCTCCACATCCTCACCAAAAATTGTTATTGTCTGCCTTTTTTTATTTAACCATTCTAGTGGGTGAAATTGTATTTCCCTAATGACTTTTTGTGTGCTTATTAGCCATTTGTATATTTTCTTTGGAAAAATGTCTCTTGTAACTGCCCATTTTTAAATCAGGTTGTCTTTTTATTATTGAATTGTAAGAGTTTTAAATATTCTAGATACAAGTCCCTTATCAGATTTATGATTTGCAAATATTTTCTCTCATTCTCTGGGCTGTCCTTTCAGCTTTCCTCATGGTGTCCTCTGAACACAATAACTTGTAATTTTGATGAAGTTCAACACGTTAATCTTTCCTATCGGTGTTTTATCTAAGAAATCATTGCCCAATCCAAGGTCACAAAGACTTACTCTGAAGATTTCTTTTAAAAATCTTATAGTTTTGGGGTGCCTGGCTGGTTCAGTCAGTTTAAGTGTCTGCCTTTGGCTCAGGTCATAATCCCAGGGTCCTGGGATCGAGTCCCGTGCAGGGCTCCTTGCTCAGCAGGGAGTCTGCTTCTCCCTCTGCCTCTACCCCTCACCCCTGCTCATGCGTGTGCTCTCTCTCTCAAATAAATAATCTTAAAAAAAAAATAAAAGTCTTATAGTTTTAGCCTCTACATTGAGGTCTATGATCCATTTTGAGTTAATTTTTGTGTATGATATTTGTTAGAGGTCCAGATTAGTTTGTTTGCATGTGGATATTCAGTTGTCCCAGCACCATTTGTTGAAAAGGCTGTTCTTTTCCTATTGAATTTTCTCGGCCTCTTTGTCAAAAATCAACTGACTGTAATTGTTAGGGTTTACTTGTGGATTCTTAAATCTTTCCATCGATCCCAATGTTTACCCTTATGTCAGTACAGCACTGTCTTGATTACTGTAGTCTTTCAGCATGAGTCTACCATCTGTGTCCATTTCCAAGATTGTCTGGCTATTCTGAGTTTCTTGCATTTCCGTATGAAATTTAGGTTCAGCAGAAATTGACAAACTGGTCCTAAAATCCGTAAGAATGCCTCTGCCCTTAATAAATAATGAAAACAATTTCTTCCATACTTAGAATGAAATTGGGTAAGGAGGACGGACCAAGGACGCTTCGGAGTGGTAGAAAGCAAGGGGATCCTTTGACAGGGGAACCAAACGGATGGGGGGAGGGGAATAAAGGAGTCACAGAGTTTGTGAACTTCCCACCCTGGTGAGAAGAATGTTTGTTGGGCAGGGGGGGAGGCAGTTGATCTAGCACCAGGGGACTTTGTGAAAGATAATTGAAATTGTTAAGTCCACTGATCTCCCCAGAAGAAAAAAAAAGGGGGGTCTCTAAGTCAGCAGTATTGTTAGTTTGTTGATTCTTACAGAAGAAGATTCTCATCTAACTAAGGGAAGCCGCTGGCCCTTTCTCAGGGCTGTAAGACCCTGAGGAAAAAAAATGAAGAAAAAAAATGAAGAAATCCCTCGTGGTCTTTTCTTACCTCTGTCTGTGGCCAGCACTAAACTTTGTCTTTGTTACCCTTCCCCTTTATAAGTTCCCCAAAAGGAGAGGGAGAAAAAGAAGAAAACCCTAGTGGGAGAGAGGGTGAGAGATGCTGGGGATAGGAGAGGAATTCCAGAGCTTTTAAAGATTTTTTATTTATTTATTTGACACACAGAGAGAGAGAGAGAGAGAGAGAGGGAGACAGTGAGAGAGGGAACACAAGCAAGGGGAGTGGGAGAGGGAGAAGCAGGCTTCCCAGTGAGCAGGGAGCCCGATGTGGGGCTCGATCCCAGGACACTTGACCGACTGAGCCACCCAGGGGCCCCGGAATTCTGGAGCTTTTAAAATGAAGGATCTTTCAGGTCCTGCTGGTGAAATCTACTAAGGAAGAGATGATACGGAGCAAGAGGAACAAGGATGACCCCCTTCTTTGACTCAGTGAACCAACTCCGGTCGTTCATCCTAAGGAAAGAAAACATGCAAAAAGTGTGAGTGGCAATGTTAATAAGATTATCTGTAATAGTGCCTGTTGGGACAACCTAGATCTCCACAATAAATGCTGTACGACACCATGGCACGTCAGACAGTAGGTTATCACACTGGCCCCGCCGTCAACATACACCCTGAGTCGCCTCCCTCCTCACTGCGTCCTCTACTTCCCCTGGGGCCCAGTCACATCGTCCCATCGTCACATCGTCTCTCACCTGAGTTACTGCAACGGCCGCTCAGCCTGTCTTTCTGCTTTCGCCTTGCTCCCCACCCCCTGGTCTACTCTCAACGCCGTAGTCAGAGGGACCCTTTTGGAAAGGGAAACGTGTCGATCCTCTACTCAAAAGCTTCCACGGCTGCCTTCTGATTCAGGAGCAAAGCTGATGTTTTTGTTGGTCCCAGGCCCTGGCTCACTTGGCCCCCATTACTCTCTGACTTCATCTGAT